TTTTTTTTTTGGTAAGGAAGATTGTCCCTGAGCTAACATCTGTTCCCATCTTCCTCTGTTTTGTATGTGGGACCCGCCACAGCATGGCTTGATGAATGGTGTGTAGGTCCACATCCGGAATCTGAACCTGCCTAACCCCAGGCCACCAAAGCAGAGCCCGCAAACTTAACCACTATGCCACAGGGCTGGCCCCAACACTCTGGTTTTAACAAATAAAATTTCAGCTTTGAATGTAAAGAAAGAACATCAATTTTGTCCTTTCTTTGTAACATTCTCCTGCAATTTTTTTGAGGGGGGGGGCGTGAAGAGAGGAACTTGAAAGGAAGAACAAATAACTTCTAAAACATGCAATAGTGCCATGACTTAAGCCTCATTATTTAAATTCTTTAAGACAATTTTCCCCTTGCTGAATCCAGGGGTAGGTGAGGAATTGTTGTTTTTTGGGGGATTTTTTTTTTTTTTGCTTCGTGCTAATGAAATATCTCTTTCTATTTATCTTTCATAAGACCATGTTTCATCACTTATAAATAGGATTTGCTTTGGTCAGATGAATTTGTATAACTTAGCTAACCTTTGAAAGGTAGGAGAAAATAAACTTAAAAAAAAAAGAAAACCTGTGCTGGGCTGTACTTACACACACACACACACACACACACACACACACACACACACACACTACTTTTCATTCACCTGGAGACCACCAAGATCGTACGTATGGTGAAGAGCTGGTCTGGTTTTTGTTTGGATTGGGTATTTTTATTTTTAATATTTGTCTTCTGAGTCAGAAGTGGTTATCTCTTAAAAGAAAAATTTGATGGCTTGAAAGCTGGGTGTTTGTGCTTTCCCCTTCGAAATGTTAACATTTAAGTAGCCTTCAATGTGCTTCAAAGTTAGCGTCCCACTAAGATAAATTAGTGACCTTCCCCCCATCCCACTCCTGCCCCCATGCACTGGTGCAATTACCTCCCTGTGGCTGGCTGGGATCTCCCTCTGGCCTGAAATCGTCGATTCTGTAGGAGACTCGGTCAGTCTGGGTGGCATGAATGCCTTGCCAGGACAATGGTGGCTTTTCATGAGGATTTAGTAATCTGAAGAATGCAGCAGGCTGTCCTTGAGAGCAACCTGCTTCTGTTGATATGTTTATGTGGTTTCCGGAGGTGGGAGGTGGAGGGGGTAGGGGTTGGTGGGGTGGCGGTGGGTTGCCTGGAAATTTACAAGTCAGTTTGAATCTGATTTATTGAGACTTTATGAAAAGTTAAAAAAAAAAAAGTCACCTATCCAGTTTCCTGACACATTAGGTTAAAGATTGATGAAAACGAGGTTTTTCTGTTTCAAACACTGACCCTGATGACTGAAAGACCCTACTCCTATCACAGCATGTGTTTCATGGTACTTTTAAACAGCATCTTTTTGTCAAATTCTAGACTCCACCTTTTCTACCTTGTCTGTCTGCTGATTTAGACACCCTACTTGGTATATATTTTGCCATTCTAGATGTTTGTGGCTTGTACAGTCTACTCCAGTATGATGTTATAGAGGAGGAAGAACTATTCCTCTACCCTCTAGGTCCTTCTGGCTGGTCTAGGAATTAAATTGACGTGAGACAGAATAACAGGGGAAAATCAAATAAAGTTTAATAACGTGTATAAATGGGAGAAAGCCAGGAAAACTGAGTAAGTCACCAACATGGCCAAAGCCACCACCTTAAATAACATCTTCAGCTAAAGACAAAGGAGGATGTTGGGGGTAGTGGTTTGGGACTTCAAAGGGGAGGAAGGGGATTTACATGGAATGGAAAAGCAAATGTTTGATAAATAAAGTTTGCTGGGCCATCTATAGACAATGGGACCCAAGAGACAGAACTTTGATAAAAATGGGCTTAGACTGGGATCCTCCCAGTCTATCATACCCAGAGTTATCTATGGTGATAGCTCTTTCCTGGCACAGCCCTTCTATCTTCAATTCTTTTAGGCAGTTAGTGAGAAGGTCAAAATTTTTGTCAGTCTTTTTCTTTTTAAAAATAATCAAGCCAAAGGACACATTTTGGGTGGCAAATTCTGATCCCCCGCAATATCAATGTGCCCAGATTTGTACCTATTAACTTGCTTTATCCACCAACATCAGAGGTGGGAATGTGCCTCCACACCACCATGCCAGGATGAGTTATGGAGGAGAGGGTGAGCGGTTCCATGCGTGCCCATCCCTGCTGCTGTCTGAAATGCAATTCAAATCAGATGACCTCCAAGGACTCTATGCCTTGCTGTCTCTATACATGCATGGCAATTCTCGTCTCTGCAATTCTAGTCCAGAACAAATCATCAACATGCCCGCTGCCCCAAGCTTCCAATGGGGCAATCTTTCCACAGGAGGCCACAGGCACTACCACCCCGGGGCACTGTGGTATTTGTAGTGGAGACAACACAACTGGGCTCTAACTGCAGCTCAGCCTATCACTTACCCTCTCTGGGCCTCAGCTGTCTTGTGTGTAAAAATGGTTTATACCTCCTAATGGACAGTTTTGAGCTTTAAGTAAGATAGCAAGCGATTCGCTTAGCAGAATGCCTGACAAAAGTAAGTGCTGGATAAATTTTAGTGAGAGCAGGATATTGAACAAGTACAACTTATGAAATGTTCAAGACACAACTTTATGTTTGATTTCCTTGGTACCTTTAAACTTTATTTGGAGATGGTAATCGTAATGTTCCCTTAACCCAGATGAAAAATCAGGCAGGCCTGTGACTTTTATGCTCATTCCCAGGAAAGTGACAGCCTTAAGTCACATGGTCTTGAATCCGAAGACAGAAAGCCTACACTGGTAATCATAAATATTCTACACTTGACCTAGCAGCACATCTCCCCTCCACCCCCAACAGCCCTCAGCGGTCCTGCCGTCATTCTGGCCTCAACTGTCTTTCTTCCCCACTCATTAAGAACTTATTCTTTTCCCCTGCCAGAGTGGTGGGATAGGGTGGAGTGGGGGAATGAGACAAGGGGCAGAGCAGTTCCTAACCAGACTCTTCAGACCTGGCAGGTGGCTAAGGCTTTCCCTCATGGGAGCCTCTATGGAATCCTCCTGGGTCCCTGTGGGGCATCTCTCCCTCAGCTCCTTGAACCCATGTGGCCCCATCTCTGTTCTGACTTGGCCTGTGCTGCCTCCATCAGTCCAAGACAGCTGGCCATACACCTCCAGCCTCCTTCATCTGATGACTCTCCACAGGCTCCCACAGCCCCTGGCAATGCAGACCCTCTCACTGTAGGGACACACTGGGCTTAATGAAGGGGATCCAGGAAAGACCCCTTGTGACATACTGCCCAAACCTCTTGGGGAGGTGGAGGGAAAGAGAGTTCAGGGCACAGTTTTCTCCAAAGATTTCCTCACAACATTCTCTTCTCTCCATTCTCTGATCCCTGTTTTATGCTCCATGTTCTCAGAGGAATTCCTTTGAGAGAGAGAGTGTATGTGTGATGATGGCAGAATCTGTCTCATATCCGCCTTGTTATCCCGATATTTATCATATTGACACCTCAGTCTAAATTGAGGCAGGAAATTTCCCCCTTCCCACATAAACACATTGGCCATAATTTACCGTAAGGGAAACTTTAATTGATGGCAAAGATGTAGCAGAATAGGACCTTAGCAGTGATTAAAAGGCAGTGCCCCAGTGCAGAGGAACCACATGTTTAGGGCAGTTGAACAGAAATTGGTATTTAATATTTTCAAAATGATATCAAAGTCATGGTGATGAGAAAAAATTACAGCTTTGTTGAGTTTAATTTATTGTTTAGTTTTGTTTTTATTTTGAATTTCACGAGTGTTGGGGGAGCAGAGTGGCTTAAAGTATCTAATATTCTTATCAGGTCCTGAGGGTCTGAGAAGGTTCCAGATTCCAGGTTCTACTCTGACTGGGGTTGGACCAGGCCAGCCACACCGTTGTCTGCACATCAGCCCTCACGTAGAGTTAGCAGCCTGCCTCTGTGGGGCGATGTCCTTGCCTGGCTCATGGGGCCCTGACTGTAAAAGCTCAAGGTTTGGAGGCCCAATGAGTCCTAATCTGACTGCTCACAGGTTATGTGGCCTTGGACACATTACCTAACCCCTCCAAAGCCTCTGTTTCCTCATCCCTAAGACGGGAAGAGTATGGAGCGTATCAACAGGTGGAGTCTGTGTGAGGATTAAATGAGGTAAGGCATGGAAGGCAGTTACCTCCCTGCTTGGTGCACAGTAAACCCTGAAAAATCATTGCCTATTATGCCGTGACTTGTGTGGGAGATCAAAATTGGCCACCCTGAAATATGTCTCTTTACCTTGATTATTTTCTCTGACAGACATTTGACCTCTCCTAAACTGCCTAAAGAATTTAACATAGGAGAAGTTCCAGGAAGGAGCCACTATCATATGATGGCTGTAATATAATGTAAAATAGATGTTACAATAGGAAAGGCACCAACAAGCGCCTCTTATCAAAAATTCTGTCTCGCCCAGGCCACATTCTCTAGGTGGCCCTGAAAATAGTTGCCAGACAAACATTTACATTTATAAGGGAAATCTCCATTTCTAAAGGTATCTCCCTCTCTGTACTGGGAAGAGGGGGGATGACCCCATCTCTAGAAACTTATCAATGTGGAAGGGGAGGCCTTAAATCTGCATAATAACCTTACTCTTGTTTACTGTGCTTTTTTGGTAATCTCCCGTAACTGACTCCCCCCACCCCCAACATCCTCCTTTGTCTTTAGCTGAAGATGGTATTTAAGATGAGAATTGCTGCCATTGTGTTGAGAAACTCAGTTTCCCTGTTTTCTCCCGTGTATACATGTTATTAAACTTGGTATTATTTTCTCCTGCTAACCTGTCTTTTAATTATTTGGCCAGCCATAAGAACCTTAAGGGAAAGGGTGGAAGGGGGATTCTCCCTCTTCCCCAAGACTTGCTAAAAAGGCGGTTCCCTGGCTCCCACCTCTGGAGATTCTGAATCCACAAACTGCATTTTTCACAAGTTTACCCAGATGATTCGTCTGGTGGATCCATTTGGAAATGTTGTGTCCACCTCCTCCTTATACTCTGTGGAGTCATCTTGATCTTCCACAGCCAGGTACCAAATCTTATTTAGGTAGTTGAGGCAGCTGTGCCTAATGGTCAGTGCTAGGACTCTGGAGTAATAATGTCTGGGGTCAAGTCTTTGCTTTTCCATGCGCTAATAGTGTGTACCTGGGAGGTTATTCCCTGTGCCTCCCTGTGCCTCTATTTCCTCATCTGTAAAATGGGGGTAATAATGGTGCTGCCTCATAAGCTTGCTGTGAGTATTCAATGAGTTAATATATGCAAAGAACTTAAAGCAGTGCCGGGTACACAGTAAGTGTAACTCAATAAACATTAGCTGCTATTAGCTTTACTTATTTTGGAGCACTTACCACATATACTGAGGAAATCTTACAAACCATTAATAAAAATTTGAATTCTTTTTTTTTTTTTTTTTTTGTGAGGAATATTAGGCCTGAGCTAACATCTGTTGCCAATCCTCCTCTTTTTGCTGAGGAAGATTGGTCCTGGGCTAACATCTGTGCCCATCTTCCTCTACTTTATATGTGGGACGCCTGCCACAACATGGCTTGATAAACGGTGTGTATGTCCGCACCTGGGATCCGAACCCAAGAAACCCAGGCCACTGAAGTGGAGCATGAACTTAACCACTACGCCACGGGGCTGGCCCTCAAAATTTGAATTCTTTTAAAAATTATCTTCATTAACTAGTTAATTCTTAAGTAACATACAAACCACAATTCTAAATATGAGCAATCCAAAATTTCAGAATTTTAATCATTAAATATTAAATAACTGAGTGTTAAATAGTAATAATTGTAAAATAATTTAAAAATCTAAAACAAAACAGAAAATTGGCTGTAAGCTTGCTTTTCCCCTCATTTAAACTCTTTTTTGGCTTTAGTTTAAAAGCCTTTTTTATTTTTCTCTTTAAATTTGTAGCACCTGTAGTTTCATCTTTTAAAAATTTTAACGTCACCTTTTAAGATTAATTTTTCCTAGATGATCCAATTTAAAACATCATTTTAAAAACATTTTTAAAAAATTTGCAGATGAAGATAATTTTTCTTAATATTTTTTGGTTATCCTTTGCTACAAAAGGATCATAGAGGTTATTAAAGAGACGTTGACTGTAAAGCAAAACTAAATAGGGCCTAAACAATATAAATACCTTTTTTTTTTTTTTTTAAGTCTTTATGCTACACAATCCATAAAATTCTAATAGGCTCCAGAACTAAGTTCAGCTCAGTTTCCAGTTAAGGTTGGTGTCTGTACTTGGAATTCTCAGCCTGAATTTCAAGTGCCATTATAAGTAACAATGGCGAGCATATTGATTCAAAACATTTTTGCACATACCCTTGGTTATTTCTTTAGGACAAATGATTAGAAGGAGAATTGCTGGACCAAAAAGTATGCCTCTTATTAAGGTTTTGTTGCATATCATTAAGTTGCATTCCCAAGAACCGGAACCACTTCATACTCCCACCAGCAATATATGAGAATGCTGTTTCCTACACACTCACACCAATGCTTGTGAATATCATTTGCCAGTTTAATAAGTTAAAATGGTATTGTATTTGCTTAAACATACAACTTTATGCACTTTACAGTGACGTTGAACATGTTAAATTTATTTACTGACCATTTATATTTCTTACCCTATGACTTATATGCCATGTCCTTTGACCATCTTTTTAGGTTTTCCTCTTTTTCTTATTGATTTATAAAGCTTTTTCTATATTAAGAAATCAAATCCTCTCAAACATATTACAAATATTTTTCCTAGTTTGTTCTTAATCTTTTATCATATTGTTTTTTGGATATGTAGAAGAAAAAGTTTAAACCTTTTTTGCAACTTAAAATTTTCCTGTATGATTTTATTCCTTTCCTTTGTGATAGGTCTTACTAACCTCAAGTTTCCATAAATATTGTTTTAAAAATATCTAACTCCTTAATAGATTAGGCACTTATTTACTTTGCTTTTCCAAATAGTTGAATATTTATCCCAGGACCATGTATAAATCATACCAAGAATAGTTCCTAGTACATAGTAGGAATTCAAAAAAAAGTTTGGAATCAATGAATAGATAATTTAGCTAATGTTCTTATTTACGAATTAATTTATTAGAGTTTCATCTAATATTTCTTTATATTTGGAGAATGAAGACTATATTGAAATTTTTATGTGTGTTGCAGAAGATCACCAACTTTGAAGAAATTAGCCTGTACATAGAAGGAACTAGACCACGGATATCATGGAGTCATTTCTGTATGTGTCAAGAGCCACCGGTTATCCAATGCACCACCACCTATAATAAACGCCAGGAAGATAGGACTACTTTGACAGGATGGTAGACCCCGTTGGCTGCCTGCCCAATGACTACTCCCTACTTTTTCTTTTTTTTTTTGTGAGGAAGATCAGCCCTGAGCTAACATCCATGCCAATCCTCCTCTTTTTGCTGAGGAAGACTGGCCTTGGGCTAAAATCTGTGCCCATCTTCCTCCACTTTATATGGGATGGCACCACAGCATGGCCTGACAAACGGTGCGTTGGTGAGCTCCCGGGATCCAAACTTGGGCCGCCAGCAGCGGAGTGTGCACACTTAACCGCTACGCCACGGGGCCGGCCCCCACTTTTTCTTTAGTAATAGAAACTCAGATTTTATTTAGGCATGTGTCGGCGAGAAGCTCAGGGAAGGTAATCCCAGGGTAAAAATCATGAATCATCTAACCATATAATGATAATCCTCATTCTTTTTTTGTCAGTAATTGGTTTAAAGGTGGGCATATAACTCAGTTCTGGTTAAAGAGACCTGGGGAAAGTCCACTGGGGGCCTCTGGGGAATATTTAGATTCTCATAGGGAAAGAAAAACGTGTAAGGAGAGTTTCCTCCCTCTACCTTCCCCAACACACACATACACACGCAAAACCCTTCCTCCCTTTGGATACTGTCATTTGAGGCTGTGATACTTGGGACTGTGGCAACCATCTCGCCAACATAAGAGGAAGGTCTGAGTCTTAACAATGTTGACTTTCTAAAATAATCCATTCTCTAGACTTCTTGTTATGTGAGATGATGAACTCCTATTTTAAAAACCATTTTTAGTTTTTTTTTTTTTTTTATGGCATCCAATACTGTTCTCTTGAGTGAATGACTCAGTCTTTCTGGGCTTTAGTTTCTGTGAAATAGCGTGGGTGATCTGGATGGTCATCATGGTCCTATCTCGATTTAAAACTCTATGATTCTATCTGATGACTAGTTGACCTCTGGAGCACCTTTCTCATCTTTATTCTAAGAGAAAGTGCTTTAAATCCTGAAAGGCAGAGAATTATAATGAACATCTGTAGAGTACATGTCACACACATTATCTCTTGTAATCTTTACAACAACTCTGAGAAGTAGCTATACTCATTTTGCAGATAAGAAAATTGAGGCTCAGAAAGGTTAACGACATACCCAAGTTCTCTCTGGTAAGTTGGCTGAGCTGAGACTTAAAAAAACCCAGCTTCTCCAGCTCCAATTCCATTCTTCCTTCCCCTGTGCCTCATAGCTGTAGGCTCTACTATTTCTGGTTGGTTTATAGCAGCAGACAAACTTCCAATGTGATTAATTTCTCCTCGCTGTCCAGATGATCACTGATCACTCTGAGAACAACTCCATGAACAGCCAGAGAGTCCAAAAGGAATTTTACCACCCACCAATGGACTCTTTTTTTTAATGAACTTACAGGGTCAGGCTCTGATGTTTATATGAGAGGAGATAAAGCACACCTGTTCTTCTGGGAATATACTTTAAGGAAAGGAAATATATGACTTATTTTGGATAGGATATTTATAACCTACTAATCTATAAACTAAATGATGGATTACTGAGAGTCAGAGTTCTGCAGGCCCTGGCAGAAGGCAGTTTACACCCTGATCACACAGTCCCAGCACCAAGAGTAGGAGGAGAGATATGGTTATGACAGGTGGGGATGGGCTTTGTGCTCATCACAACCCGCTGTTGATAAGTCACTGCTGCAGAACTTGGGGACATGTACCTGCTGTCTCCATCTCCAAAGCATATAGCCTTTATAGCAGGAGGGAGGTTCACTTTTTCTAGACCTCCCATTCACCTTGTAGGTGAGGAAATTGCTTTATGGTTATATCCTGAGCATCTAGCACAGAATCTGGCCTGTAACAGGCACCCAATAAATATTTTCTGCATCCTGTTGTTGATTAATGAAGTTGAAGCCTAACGCGGTGAAGTGACTTGTTCAGAGTAAAACAACTAATAAATGACAGAGCCCAGACTTCTGGTCTCCTGAGTCTCATCTGATAGATTTAACTCCAGTAAAACTGGACATATGGACTTTGTTGGAGGTCAGAAATATCACTACACATGGGAAATTCATTGTTTTAATTGTCTCAAAATGTCTTGGATCCAATATAAATATAACATTCATTAAAAAGAGGACAAACATGTCTTCCTGGATGAGTAGCAACATGGGTAGAATGACTGGAATAGCTCTGGGAGCATTTAATTGTGGAAATCTACCTGTCTCCAAGGGCTGCTCAGAGGGGCCAAGGTGGTTTCTGGTGAGCCTTAGCAATCCCTTCTCTATGACTGGCATGACCTTGGTCATCCTTAGAAAGATGCCCACAGGGCCACAGGCATAAACTTGTTACAGCACCTCAAATCTCTAAATGCATGTTAGTGGCTTCAACGTGAGCCCATGAGTCACCTTAAAGGCAAAACAAAGGTGCCTATTGGAAACAGAGATTCTGAAGAGATTATATCAAAGGTAAGAGAAGGGTTCAGCCACTTCGACTTGGTAGTAAAGGAGAGGAGGAAAGGAGAAAGGACTGTTAGCTCCTGAGGGCAGAGACTGAATAATGTTCATTTTACCAGGCACATAGCATGCAAATATTTGTTGAATAAATGAAAATTATAGTCTTACTATACTTGTATGCATATATTAAATATATATATTTATATATATATATCATTGGTTGAATGGAGCAAACTCTATATTCCCTGCTCTCTAGTAGCTGAGTCACTGGCCATCTTTCTTGTTTTGATGGTAACCCAGGGTCTCCCAAACATGGAGTCTGACATGATCAATCCAAATGGTCCCATTCTATGGCTCTGACTGGCAGAGAGGATGGGA